GAGCAGGAAGTGCAGAACCTAGAACAATTTTCTTCTCACTGAAGCAGAGAGTACTTCTTACAATTGTTACAAACATTAAATCTGATTTTCTTCTCTATTAATTTTATCAGATGATTTTCCATTCCTATTTCCTTACCTTTTTTGCCTGGCAATATTCCTTTTCCATCACTTTTCCTAGCACCCAAGGTCTCCTAGATGCACCTGAAGCTAAAGAGACAACATATTTCTTATTTTGGACAATCAACTACAGGTAACAGGGTATTACATTCAATATGGTTAAAGATTATTTGCTAAAGTGATTGCACTAAAAGCAGAAATTCTTAAAAAAAACCACCCTTTTTAAAATACATTAACAAAAACTAACTAAGTACAGATATCAAGACAGGTCACTAGCATTTTCAAACACAAAACCTGATATTTCAGTTTAAATTTTGTTTTAAAAGTTAACATTAGAGAAGACAAAAGCAAATCAAAACTGAAATTAATTTAATGATTCAAAATTATTCTAGTCAGCCCAGCTTGACCTTTTTTTCTGATTTAAGGTGAGAATTTCTTCAAGTATTCCAAAGGATAGAAAGTCTTCTGTACTCAGCTATTATTACTGCCTTTACTGAAATATTTGATTAATTTTCTGTATTAGTGATGGAAATTAGTTACTCATAAATAGTAATGTTAAAGCCCTGCAAGTCTGCTAGTTTTGGTTGCAGTCTTTGAGAGTACCCAATACTGTTCAGAAAGGAGAAAAGTGAAGAAAAAAAAAAACCTGACAGGTCAAAAGAACAACAAAGTGGGCATAAATACACTTTCAGCTTGTGGCCTTTTCTGTAACGGTAAGGAAATGTGTATTTGCCTTGTATTCCAAGAAATTATATCCATTTTACTTGCTTTATTATTTTCTAGCTGTCACTAATCATGGCATGAAGAAAACATCAAAACTGATGGAAGGAACAGCTCAAATACGCTCTGCATAATACCAACTATCAATAGTTTTCTAAGCATGTCTTTTTAAGAGATACTGTATCTAGTGTCTAGAACATGAGCCACTCAAGAACCAGATTTTGAAATTTTAATCTTACCCTTCAGAATTGTGTTGGTTTTGGCTGGGATAGAGTTAATTTTCTTCATAGTGGCTAGTATGGGGCTATGTTTTGGATTGGCACTGAAAACAGCGTTGACAGCACAGGGATGATTTCGTTATTGCTGAGCAGTGCTTACACAGAGTCAAGGCCTTTTCTGCCTCTCACCCCACCCCACCAGCGAGCAGGCTGGGGGTGCACGAGAAGCTGGGAGGGGACACAGCCGGGACAGCTGACCCCAACTGACCGAAGGGATATTCCATGCCATATGATATTGTGCTCAGTGTATAAAGCTGGGGGAAGAAGGAAGGAAGGGGGGGACACGTTCAGAGTGATGCCGTTTGTCTTCCCAAGTAACCATTATGCATGATGTGGCCCTGCTTTCCTGGAGATGGCCGAACACCTGCCTGCTGATAGCAAGTAGGGAACAAATTCCTTGTTTTGCTTTACTTGCATGCGCGGCTTTTGCTTTACCTATTAAACTGTCTTTATCTCAACCCATGAGTTTTCTCACTTTTACCCTTCTGATTCTCTCCCCCGTCCCACCAGGGGGAACGAACGAGCAGCTGTGTGGTGCTTAGTCCTGGCTAGGGTTAAGCCACAACAAGGATTAATTTGACTGTTGATAATGGAGCAGATTCTGTTCTACTCCACATTCCTACAAATCCTACAATGAATAATTATTCATATCTGGCCTGAATGCTCTACAACTAAAGTTTTTTTGAATTTGCTTGGCTGACAGACTTCATTCGTCTAACAAAGACAGTGAGAGAGATGCAGGTTTTTTTTCCTTACATTTGCAAATTAAAACTGTATCCCAAAGATAAGGGACGACACAGAAACTACACAGTCCTCAACCAATTTCAGTGTTGTCATAACATTCTAAGTGCTCTTAATGTAGGTAGAGACAACCTACAATAGCCTAAATTCCTGACACTTAATCCTGTAGGTGTACCTATACAGGATTAACAACTTGATATGTACATGTTGGTACAAAAGGTCAGATTTAAATGCAACATTTTGGCAGCCCTTAAAACAATAATTTCTAGCACCTAGGTCCACACCAGTTTTAATCTATCACAAATAATAGTAGTGTTATGGGTTTCATTTTCCCCACTTCCCTGATGCAGAAATAGAACGTAGACATCGTTTCCTGAAGTACTGAGCTAGAGATAAATGTGTTCCTAAGGCAAATGGTAAGTCTTTCTGTTTATTTTATCTGCAGTTTTCTCAAATTTGAGACCAACTGGTTAGCAAGTGGTAAGGAATGGAACAAGCTAAGTCCATTTGAAAACAGACAGTTCAGTAAATTGTGTACTCAGAGTAACATACAAACTGACATGCCTTTTACCTTATATATGTAAACCAATAGTAAGAAAGTAAATCATATATCACATAGTTATATATGCACTACTAATGCCATTGCTCAGAATGTATTACGTCTGTAAGATAGGAGTTCTTCCCGTGTGTTTCACAGAACACATATGGGACAGATTCTTCAGCAGTCTCAGAATGCAGTTAGAGCTTCGTGGTCTTCTGAAGACTACACAATTATTTCAGAGCTATCATCTTTCATCATAACTGAAATCTACAATGAGTCTGCTCATTGAGAATAAGTTGACAGTTTCTGACATGCAATAACATACAGAAACTTCTACTGATAAATTAGAATACAAAATGTTCTTAGACATATCTGCAAAGTTGGGAGCACAGGTGGATTTGCAAAAACATACCAGGTGTGATAGTTTAAAGACGTTTACATGAATCTAACATAGCACATTGTTTAGTGCAAAGCATCATTATTTTTCCTCATATAAAAAAGATTAATACTTCAATTTAACTAAATTTACATAGCTGCCAGAAATAGCCAATGAATAACATGAAGTTTAAGGGAGGAAAAAACTAAACGTGCATCAACCTGAACATAAGCAAAACATACAGAAACTGTTCTCTGAACTAGAAATTTCTGTTCAGTTGGGTTTTTTTTTTCAGAAACGTTATCAGCAAAAACATTGCTTGCAAATCCCCATCTACTGTGGTTTCAGACATGTATTTGGGTTCATAAATTCCAGTCACTTTGAGATGATGAGCTACAGAGAGAACAAATTTTATCCAAAGACAATCTTCAAAGGACATCATAAAATCAGGTGTTAAGAACAGAGTATGCAGTTTTGGCAGAAATGTTACCTTGAGTTTTGTATTTATTTTCCTCATCAAAAAAAGACATTGAACACATAAATCCACATAAAAATAGGCCTGAGACCTACACAACTATACATTATCATTCATGTTACTGAATAGCTAAGTAGCCTGATGGGAATGTTTTCCCCACAGACGTGTTAACATGCTCTGTGTGTGTATAAAATTGGCATTTTCTCTCTCTTTTTAACAGCTTACTTTTGAAGACGCAGATATTTTTCCTTATTTTTCCAAGATATTAAAACTGTATCAATTTTTTATTTAAAATGTTCTACCTTGAAAAATGTTTAGCATCAAAACAAATAGCAAAAGCTACAAAGATAGATGACAGCTACCTATATTACATGCTTCTCATACTTATCACACATGTATTTATAAAATCACTTAGTAAGGGTTAGAAAGCTAAGAGTGTTATTTGTAGCAGGAAATGATAATTGGAAGTAATCTGACACTTACCACACTCACCTGGTTTGAGATCCAGTGCAGCTAGTGATTCTGAGTGCAAAAAATACAAGGTTGGACTAACAGTAAACAATACATAGTTGTCATGCCTTTCGTCCAAGATAATGAGAACCAAATCGCCAACCTGAAAACTAGGGAGAAAAAAAAATCAAGGAACATAACTAAAAAAAAGCACAGAAGCTTAAAACTGCATTAATTACACTACAATTTTTTCACAAGTATTGTACAGACTGAGACTTAGTTGAACAGCAGCACGGACATTTCTACTTGTTATGCCAACTCATACACATTTTATATTTTCTGAAGCCAACAAAACACTCTACCTTTCAGAAAGTGTTTTTGAAATGGTTTCCTACATCCATCAGCTCAAATTATTTTTTTCAAAAGAACTGACAGTTTTCCTTTAAAATATAAACAGAAGTACCTAGCAAAATACTAACATTTCAATTTTGTATTATTTTTATTCACCAATAATTATAGCAATGATCACTGTACCAGTCTTTACAAACACTCTTCTGATGTTTTAAACTGAAGTCAATTTGAACACAGAAAAATACAGCAAAACATTTACGTAACTATGCAATCTTAAAATTTTAAGCGCACAGGACAAAGAAGGGAAGAAGTGTTCATCTTTGATGAAAGGGTTAACAGCAAAAGAAACAACATGGTGACTTTACACAAAAAGTTTCAAAAATCTGTTTCTTCCTGACACCAGGATAACAAAAGAAGCCACCAAGTCCTCATGCCAAGTGTCAGTAACAGAATTCAGAGAACTTTTTCTGTCTCCAATTTCTGTTTTACAGTGCAAACATGTTGGAAGCAAGTTATTCACCCATTAATGAAATGAAGTCTAAAATAGCTGCAAATTAAGCATTAGACCATGAAAGGGCTCTAAGAACAAATATGACTACTGTTCTGGGGATGGGGGAGAGGTGGCAAAGAAAGAAGAAAACTCCTCTCCATAAAACGACATCAGAGAGACACAGTCAGAGATAAACAGGAGAATCTAGAGGGAAATTTAGCTCATTTCCTTTAAAGTTCACTTTCAGATTAAATAAACAATACTCCAGGCTTTTCTGCCTGGACTTACTATGGTGACAGACTACACTGATTTAGATAAAGACATCTCTACTGGACAGATGAATTCTTCTTTCACAACATTTTTCTCACCAAAGACTATCAAGAGAATTGTCAGAGTATTCAGATGCTCACAGGAAAAGCTGATTCTGCACATACTGACCTTGTTACAATAAAAACGCAATTTGGTGTAATTCAGAAAGCATTAGAGGAATCATCTGTGTTAGTTTTCTTTCCAAAAAGATTTTTAATATTACTCAATTAACATCAGACTGATAAATGACTTAAGAATTTGTCTGTAGCTTTCATATTTTGCAAGAATTAATACTTCTTTTTCCAGTAACAATTCTACATGCAGCTTCTAACAGATTGATAATATCTAAGAAAATATTTAATTTCTTTTCATTCTTTCAAGGTAAGCCAAAAATTTTGAAGACTTCTGGAAGGTAAAACTTCTCTTGAAATACAATGCAGCACTGCAGATATTCAAGGTGAACAGGATTTCTTCTTCTTTTTCTTAGCATAATTTCAAGAAGGTTACACAGAAACAAAAAGTAATCTAAAAGAAAACTCTGGGAGGATTCTAGAAATCCCATGAGGTATTATCCTTATGAACTGTGTAAAGACAGACATGGAATTCAAGAAAGCCACCAACATACAGAATTCAGAAAGGCTTTTTTTTTGTTTAAAAAATTTGATTTATGCCTAGCTGGGATGGTTCAATAACTATAGAGATGACCTATATATCTTTTCACCACAGAGCAAGAACAGAAGAATTGTGACATTCTTTAAGTACATACTTATTACTGAAGGCATATCCATCTGTTTATATGATAATTAATGGGTACTTACTCTCTAATTGCTATTTTTTCAGAATGTCTTGAGGATACTGATGACATGCTCTGGGACATCTATAAAAAAAGAGAAAAGCTATAAAATATTGGCAAGTTATGATGAAATGTACATTGCAGGTAACAATATCATTAAGATAAATCATTTATTATCAATTTCAAACAGTGTCAATTCTTGCCGATCTTATATTCACTCAAGAAAACAGCATACCTTTCTGTCATCCTGCTCTACGGCAGGTTTGGCTGGTTTTTATTTGTTTGTGGTTTTGAGGTTTGTTTGTTTTGTTTTCAAATAGCTACCTTTGATTATGAAATTTCTTATACAACTGACTTCTCCTTCATTATTTAAAACTGAGAAGTGCTTTCTAGACCAGTGCTAGTGAAGATTTGTTCTGAGCATACCCAAGACCTATGATACAGCTGTGCACCTTAACACAGAAGCCACTGCCATTCTAAAAAAGGCTGATGGTAAAACACCGGAGGTTAAACATGTTTATTACAATTAAACTCTAGATGTTGAACTTGATATGGTGTCTCAGTTTTACTAAGGACTGTCACATAATCTAAAGTTTACTGTAATAGACAGAGCAGCACTCCCTGGAATAAAACTGAAGTAAAATTTACTAAGACCAAACAAAGGCTCAACTATATAAGGTTTTGGACATAATTCATATCTCCTATATGCATGACATTTGCCTTTAAATCCGTTTAAATTAATTAATACTGGCACATGAAACAACTTCAATAGGATAAACGATCTAACAATGAATAAGTCTACATACACTTTCTACAGTAACTGTGATAAGAAAGGAAAATGGGTAACACTACTTTGTATCTACAAAGGGGTACACAGCCCACATACAGGCAAGATAGAGAAGCTGATCTGACGTAAATGTATACATTTCATTACCCTTTGGTAATTTCCTTACAGAAGACAATTCATAACTGCCCCGCAGAAACTCTGATTAAAGGTCTTGCAGTTTATCCATAGGTTCCTACTTCCTGGACCATTTATACATGCTATTCAAATCTAGATTACTCATACCCAAAGTTTAGCACATGATTTTTCAGCTGTAACTCAAATATTGTTACATATAGCATATTTCCTATTGTCAGTCTTCCCCCCCACTTCCCTGGAAACAGTATCAGCCTGTCTTAATATGAGCTTGAAGCCTATTCACAGCTCATTTTCTTCATTTCTTCAAAGAATGAGTCCAAATTGAATACAGTACAATACAAAAATCTCTCAACTTCTGATAACACTTTCAGCAGTTTTCTTTATGAAGTCCAATTTCAGGTCAATTTTTTTTTTTTTGTTAGATACTACATTTCCTTGACTTATTCACATTGTACTTTTCTTCCTTGCAAAAGTTGCAACTAACATGGAAGTTGCCAAATGCATATAATTTGCTTTGATTGCTCACTGAAGTTTGACAGTTCTCTTCAGATGTTAAGACCAAAGGTTTTCCTAGTGGTTTTTAAAACTGGAATAAGTGTTAAATTAAAACGCAAACTAGCTTGATATCTATATTTTTCATTAACTTCTAACTTTTAGAAAAATAGAACAAATTAGAAGGTTAAGAATATTTCCATTAAAACTTAGTAAAGAATATTCTATGACTAGTGTTCTAATAGCCAGAAAAAAGGGTCCCTTTCTCAATAATCTATATAAAATAAAAAAAACCTGTAATAACATTCCTCATATTAAAAGGAGCTCCTTTGTATCTTTTATTGCTTGAAGAGGTAACCAAGAAGTTTTGCTGCAAAAGTCAGTGACTTGAAAAGATTTTCTTTTACTGTGCAAAACCTCTTCTATGTTCTTTATCTGAGGTAGCTGGATAGAAAAAAATAATGGTATTTAAGTGTTGATGTGTATTTCTGTTCTAGAAGTGTATTGGGAAGGTGGGGGAGAAAAGATGATGAAGAGACAAGAAATAAGAATAGTTTACTTTATCTGTGAAATGACCAATTTACATGTAAGAAATTGAAAAGATAGTATGTTATTATGCCCATTCAAAAACCTATTTTGAATTGCTTCAGACACCAATGAGCTGCTAGTTTCTCTTACGTGGCTTGATATTAATCATAACAACAAAAAAGAATTTTGTATTTGTCTTGTGTAACACCAGGTTTTCTTCAATTTCATTTTACTCTGAGACTACAAGAAATCAAGAGTTTAATTCAGGAAATCCACAGAGAAGTTTGGAAGACTGTCCAGGGTGTTTGAGTTTTATTGTAAAAACTATATTGAAACACCTTTGTGCACTTCACTGGCATTCTGAATTAAAAAAAAAAGAATCCTCTTTTATAAAACATGCCTTTAGATGTTTTGCAATCTTTTCTTATGCCCTGCACTAGCAGGGTTATTATGGACAGCTGTTAATGTGGAATGAAAAGTGTTTGAAAAAAAATAGCAATTTCATACCTGAATATGTAGCCAGAGTAAATTATATAGTAAATTTCAATCCTATCTCAGACCGAAAAATAGCAGCTCCTACTGGAAAAACTCAAACACTTGTGCTATGAAATGTAACTTGCAACTACACAGATATCAGTTCCCACCAAACTCCTAGATGTCACCTGTCACTTAAAGAAAGTGAGATCTCCATGGCCAGTCCAACCAATAAACTCCCAAAGGACATGTCTATTTCCCATACACACAGGAAGACTTAAGGTGGAGACCTGCTAGCAAGGATAAACTGCGGATAAATAAAAAAGGAGAAGGATTCATAGCACAGGAATCAAGGGAACTCTGTCACTATATTCTTCTTTCTTCCGTAGGCATTGACTATTATTTGAGTGTTTAAGACAATGGCTGTTTTTATTTCCAGCTGCTAGGCAGAATTAAAGTTTCACACCTTATAAAAATGACAGGTGCAGTTTTCCAAAAACAATCTCCAAGTTATTGCTAACACTCCTAATTATGCATAATGTGCAGGCATATTTACATTCTTGTAAACTGGCCTTCAATCTACTGTTGTTGAAAAACTGAGCCACAGCACCACTAAAATTAACTCCCCCTACCCCAAGCCTGGATGGCCTGCATTCTTTAGGAAGAAGTCTCTTTCTCCCCAGTCCTGTGAATCTTTTCCATGAGAAGACTGCTAAGTTGAGGTACCTCTGCAAGGTTATCAGGTTACCTATTTGCCACTTGCCTTACCACTTAAAACATTTTTGAAGTTAATAAAATATATTTTTAGATTTTAACAAACTTAACATTTGTAAGCGTTTCTTATTTTCTCATGAGACTTAAAACTTGCATTGCACACTTACCAATCTTTGATTTAATCTCTTATTTTCCTCCTCTTTCAACTGCAAAGTCTGAAAGAAAAATCTTATCTGATTAACTAATACACCTTATACAGTATAAACATTTTTAAAAAGTTTTTATATGACCAGCCAGACTTATACAATATACATATTTACTACAGCTTTCAGTTTTAACACAGTATCAAAACATCTTTTGAACAGACATGTAAACAAATTTGCAGTCTAGCAATTACCACAGTGCTACAAAAACCACTGCTAAGCTGTGCTTATCTCCATACTCATCCTTCTGCTTAACTTAGAAAAACATTTCACTGACAAAACAGAAAGAGAAAGTAATACATTACTATCTTATAGCTTCTACCTGTGACAAATCCTTTGTAAGCAGATGACAGAATAAAGCATGTAAAGTGCTCCTAGTCAGAGACATCCAGCCACTTGCATCATACAGTGCCACAATCCATTAACAGAAAACATTCACGTTCTCTAACTGATCACAGATTTTAGTCTGTGATCCTAGAAAGCTGAAAGCTAAAGAATCTTTTTTTTTTTTTTTTTTAATAAGCTCAACTTTGAAGAGGCAAGAAAAGACAACTGGAATGGAGTCAGATATGACTGGATAGTTAAAAATTACTAGAATCGGAAAGATTCCAGTGTAACTACTAAGGGTTAATCTAGCCTTTTACCAAGAATAACAACTTTTATTTAATCAAATGCTTATTTAATCCATTACTCAGTGCACATTGAAAGCTATGTTCAAAATAAAAATTGTAACAGAAGTGAAAATTTTATCAAGGTTACGTATTTGGGAGAAGCAGGTGGGGTGAGGTATAAACTTACAATTCTAGCCTGTAGGAGCCTGACAGTAACTTCAGAACATTGCAATTTTAAGCACATTCATAACATGTTATTTCACTTTTTACGGAAGCAATACTGTCAAGATTATAATGCATCCCAGGAAGAATTAAAATGATCTAAATAGTAGCAGCCTAAGAGGAGAAATTACCCATTTCCAAGAGAAACAGATAGATCAATCTTAATTCCTGTCCAGCTGCTCTGGATGCCTTAATTTGAAAAAGTAATCAAAATTTTCTTTTTTTGCTACAAAAATTCCCTACATCAACGACCCACCACTCCTAAGAAGAAATGTTACACCTGACTCACTCCTACTGAAGCCTACATAAACAGAATAAAGTATAAACAAACTTTAAGCTAGGCCAAGTGTAAGTATAGTGTATTAATACTTATTTTGAATTACTTCAATGAATTATACTGATCCAAAATGAGTACAATGAAAAACCACTCCCTGGAATGATATTTATAAGCCTTGCAGATACTACGTTGCATCAGAGTATATAACTGACCACCGCACAACTTCACACATAAGTATTTATAAGTACTTAGTTGTAATGCTTAACCTCACAAACAGTCTACTCACTCTTTCTAACAGCATTATCCTCTGTTTTTCTTCAGACATATGGACATTTTCACTAAAAAAGAAAGAAGAAAATGCATAGGTTAAAACTGAAAATTTTGGTCATGATCAAAAATTATCTTTATCTACCCCTCCCATTGTCACTCAGTGATGAATGCCATGTGCTAGCACAGAGGGAACAGCACAGAAAAATACCTTAAGAATCAGCATCTACATTTCTGGCAGAAGGTTTTGGGGGATTTTTTTTTTTCTTCATTTTTTTCTTTCTTTTTTCCTCTCTTTCCTTTTTTTTTTTTTCTGCTTTAAAACCAAGGAGCTGCTTTGTTGCAACAAGCCAGTAAGTTTTCAGTCACTGATTAGTTTATAAATTTACATGGGACCATTTCTGCATATTTTGCATTATTTTCAAAACATTAGGATGAAAGATACAGCTCCAAATACCTTGGCAGTTAACCTTGATACTGTGGTTCAGGTCTACAATGTCATATTTTCCTAATCTTTACAATTTAAAGGCTCTGTGGCCTGGGACTCTGTGGTAGAGAGACACTAATGTGAGCTTGCTAATTGTCTCCATTTATCTGTGAGAAACTGAGCACTGGGGCATGATAAGATAATGCTAACACCCTAAGAAGAAATTTCCTAAGAACACAGAGAGTAATTCCTAATACAATTAAAATATATTTTTAAAGGTAGGTTAATAGGGAAGAAACAATATATTTTGTAGTCCAAATTGATTTGGTTGGGAAAAGAAAATGGACAAGTTTTTGGATATAGAGTCCATTCCTCCAGTCTGACAAAACATGCTATAAATCCAAGCAAAATGCCAAGTAGAACTAACAGAATACAATTAAGCCATGCTAATCACTACTTCGTTTCAGTTAAAAGGCTGTTTAGCTCTTATATAATAGGAAGAAGTCAACAGAAGCCTGTAAGAATTTCTGCCTCTATTACCTGACTTTTAGTACATTGAGCCAAAATTTTGTGCTCCCAGGCTTATCCAGGGTTTTTTTTTCTTTTAAAAAAAAAAAACTGCCTTGAAAATTCAGGGCTAGAATGATTACTGTAAGAAATAGTTCTCCTTCTAAAGACACGGTATTTCAGTGTTTTAATGATTATCAGTACAAGTTTAGTTTGATAAGCAACAACTGTTTTCATCCTTACTTCCACAAAGTTATTTAGTGCACTGGGTATATTGTTCTAGGTTAGGCAGCATCAGTTGTGATGGGCATGGATTAAATTAAATGTAAGTACATCTAATAACCCTGCTTTTGCTTCTCTGGCAAAACCTCATTCCACCTGTGTGTTTCCCAGTCACATTCATTACTTCTGTGAGAGGCAAGCAGAAGTCTAGGGTTGTTCAAACAGCTAGTGGCACAAAAGTGAGAAAATGCATAGGTTGCAATTGCTTAATGATCTTGCATGAAGATTCTAGGTAAAGGGGTAGCAACCGGGAGCTTACAGTCAGTTACTCTGCTTTCCTTTCAACAACAGTAAAAATCTGCAAGCTGTATCAAGTGGGTGATTCAAAGATGCGGTCAATTTCTTCAGTTAAGTGTTCTTAATGAGCAAAAAGAAACCTTTAATCATATTAGGGGAATAATGAAATTAATCTGGGATTCTAAGCTTTTTCTCCCATGCAAATGAATACAACAAACATAACACTGTACAGTTCTGAAGCAAATATCAGACATGTTTCGAGAAGCCTCAGAAATAAGAGCATATGAACTTTTGTTTTGTTTTAAATAAGATCACAAGATCTGTCTTCCCAAAACATCTCATTGCACTGAGGTAACTAGAACAAAGCAGGCTTCTTGTTTGTTCAGGGGAACATGACACAGCCTGTGATATTTATCAACTTCACAAATGAGAAATTCTATGGGAGGATTAGGAGAAGAGAGGAAATCTGACAATGCAATCATAACTGAGGTATTAAAAGTCTATTAAAAAACTACTGTAGGTGTAAAAGCATAAAAGAAAACATTCCATGTGACTGCTAATACTTGGAAGTGCCTTCCAGTTCAAATCCAAATTTCCTTAGATGCCTTAGACATGGTAGAAAAGGATCTTAAAATGAGTATTCCTAGTACAAGAGAATTAAAGAAATGTAATCTTCTGCCACGAGGACGTAGAAAGTGTTAGCATGAAGAACAATTCTTCTTTTTATTAGTAAAAAATACTAAATGTTGACTATTTCGGTTTTCTTAGGCTGCTATAAACATACTCATACTGTAGACTTCTTAAGTTTTTCTAGTTTTCCCCATTTTCTATATGGAATAAAACACCCAAACAAACCAACAGCTGGAATGCCTCGGACAAAACTTCTTCACCCTTTTTTTCTGAATTCTTTCTCAGTAGTCTACTCTGAATGGATTCTGCACTAAGCATAATAATAGTTGTGTATCTTCTAGTAATGAGTCCTATTTTAATGCACACCTAACATGTGCTATGCATTTTGTCTTATTCTAGTCAGAAAGTACATGTAATACAATGTGCTCATTTTAGTATAGAAATTTTAGGCCTAAGATTCTGCATTTGTTGAGAGAAATTTACAAAAATTGTTAAGAAAATTTAAAAAAATAGCATTTTTGCATGCATCATCATAACCCCTTCTCTTGGAGCATCAGACAGTCTTTACTATTCAAAAACCTTTACAAAATTACTTAAAGTACAGTTAAAGTAAGAATCAAGGCTCTGAACTTGATGTGCATTGTCATGGAAGTCAGTATTGAATAAACAGAAAATACATCTGCAGTAGGCTAGACTCCTGACAACAACCAACAGGACAACTTTGTACCAGTCAGAATTATTTAAGTTCAGAAGACTTCATAGTCATGTACTGAGACCAGATCACAGTCTCCTAGCTTTACATGTAGACTCTTCACTTACTAGGCAAGGTGTTGTATGCCAATAACAAAGTGTACTGCTATTGTAGGGCACCCAAAATAGAGAATATAGTGAAGTCAATGACTGCAAAAAACTCCCTAAGTTCCCCCTGATCTCTATAATCACCTCACTATTTCAAGCACAGGTTCAGACACCTACCTACAAACTAGCACCTGCCTAATTAAACCTCCATACAAAAAGGGTGATAAACAGTTAAATGTGTGTGATATTAACATAACATTATTTGAATCTGTTGTAAATCCAGATTATCAACCAGATCCAAACACAAAAGAACCAACCTTTAGTGACAAGTTTAGTTTGAAGCACGTAAGTTACTTGCCCTAGCTGTTTTCCTCAAGTAAGGGTTTAAATCATTGCAAAGTTTTTTCCCAGTCCCATCACTGCCTTCTAGTAAGTCAGCAGTACACAGCTGACAGTACTGATGATTCAGAGGTTATACAAAGGGATGCTGAATACCTCTCCTTCTCTCCAATAATACAAAAAACATCAAGCCATCAAGGCCACTTAGTCAGCCTCAGTCCCATTACTTGTTTTGAATCCTGAGGTTTCAGCCTAATTTCTACCAAGCATGCCTATCGCCCCTTGCCCTTTATCAAGGAATGTCATTACACTATCTTACAGCAGACATGTACATGAACAATCAAAGTTTTTTTGTTTGTTTTTAAATGAGAGCCAGCCACTGTTCAAAAGATATGTCAATAACATGCAGCCACCCAGCTCATTCTAGGCCATTTGACATTTCATACACTTAGGTCTATTTTTAAATCTCATAATTGTGGGGCCAAGTTTCACCTTTAAGTTGCATACTTCCAAGTCATCAAACCCACACATTTCTGATGATTGTGACACCACAACTGTATGCATACATTTAAAAGAACATTTTCAGCAAGAACATCAAAGGCAGAAGGAGTGTTAAACATGCTCATTTGTGCTTCACAACACCCAACAGCACACATTTAAAGAACGAGAGCATGCTTTGTGTATTTTACTACAATACCCCATACTTACTGCACAGCCATCATACTGGTTTCCATCATGGAGTCCATTCTCCCTTCAGCTGCAATGTCAGAAACCAATCTGTCTGTGTCAGTAAGAACATCAGCTGCGCAGGCTCCACCAGCTTCTGAAGCTGCCACTGAGTAGGCTGACGGAGAAAAATTACTAATTCTCAGTTTATTAACTTCTTCTTCAAGCTTTTTCTTCTCTTCAAGTAAGCGAGCTCGATCTTCAGAAAGTGTTTCAATCAAATCTGTGACACAAGTAAATAAAAATCTTTTAGTAACAGCAGCACTAAGGATCAAAACCAATCTGTAGCAAACGGAATTGTCCTATTAGAAAAGATTAGAATACTTTTTCAGAATTTTGCTTACCTTTATCTTTTTCTTGCTGTTGTGTAAGCATTTTTAATTTATCACTAAGATCATTAATTATGTTTTCTTTTTTCATTTTCTCCCTTGCCAGAACAGTGTTAAAGTTGGTCTGAAAACAGAAAGAAGTATTACCGAAATAAGAAATGTGCATAATGCTTTGTAATCCAGTTAGTGTCCAACAGTTGCATGTTTTATACTAAAACCAGTTACTTTAAGGATTACAATGGTTAAGACAAAGCTGCACTGCATCAAGATATGTCACATGTAATAAAAAAGAAAAATATCATTATTAATAAACTAGAATAATATACTAGAATCTGAATTAAAAATACATTTCAAGTCATGCATTAATTAGTTAACAATTAATGCAGAAGTCATACAGGAATCCTGGCTAATAGCTTGAATAACTGAACATAAGAGGCTAGCATATCCTTCCCTATCAGCCTGACAAATCTGCTTCTTCAATCCTTCCACCAGCCATTATGCCCTCACCCCTTCTACTCTTAAGGTTTGCTGACGAGACAGACAAGAACTACCAACAACTATCTATTAAAAGGATATTTTAAATTACAATTTCACTTTTTTGGTGAATTTTAAGATTGTCTTGACCTATGCCTATCAACTCTCAGTCTTAAAATGCAAGCTATTTGGCAAGCTACACACCTTACATAGTGCACACTGGCCTTTAGTATATGTCCGCATAGCAAAACTATCACACACCACAAGCATAAGTAAAACCTCTAAGATAACTTTACTGAGGAAAAAAAAATTACTTAAGGGTGAGGTGAAATACCCAGAATATTCAGTGATCAGCAGAGACAGTCCAGCACTTTCAACAGTGACTGATACACCATTTTTATGTTGTTGGGTTTTTTACTTGGTTAATCTTTGGGGGTTTGGGGTTTTTTTTGTTTTGTTTGGTTTTTTTGTTTGTTTAAAGAAAAAGTTCCATCTTCCCTGGAATTTGTTGTTAACGCCTCAGAACCTTCCCTTCCACGCTCTGCTGCACAAATGAATATTATCAAATAATGAGGAAAATGGCATATTAAGGCATACTCTGATGGAAAACCAAATCTTATGATTACCAATGTAATGTACAAAATATTCCTATCAGATTTACTATGTAAGGCTTAGTTCAGTATTACTGTTTGCAGTCCAAAAATTTAAAAAAATATTCTTTCCTTTGCAACTGTCTGCAATTTTCTGCTCTCTGCACCAAGTGATTCATAGCATTCATTCACCAAGCTGGCTGATCACTACATTGTCTCTTTGTCCTTATTTGATCCTACCATAGCTAAAGTAAGTAGAGGTGCCTAAAACAGAAAATCCTTTCTTAGTGTTTAAATGCAACAAAGCTGTAGATAATAGCTGTTACTAACAGAGATTTAATTTAAGAACTGAAGACTCATGTACAAAATCTGAGAAATACAAGATGTTAGGAAAGGAAAAAAATGTGTGGATACAGATATAATTATTAATCCAGTGCGATATGATTTTGTATCAAGGTGTGGAGTACATAGTGTTTCTAAGTTTATTAAGCAGAAGATAACATTCGCTTTGAACCTCAAACACCACCGGCCCAAGCTAATAAAGTTTAAAAGCCAGTAAGTGGCATTCCAAATCAATTACTATTTCAAATAATTAATTTTGTGTTGTCCACAGATTTTGTGCTGTTAACTTAAACTATACTTAACCAGTATCTTTCTGGAGTTCAACAGATTAATGGATAAAAATTTACAGCACTAGCTTAACAACTTAAGCAAAATAAGTCACAAAATAACAAAAATTGAATCTGGATTTTTTTGTGTTTTGTTTTTTTCTTTTTTTTTTAAATGCTTCAGGTTTGGATTCCATTAACACATCATATCCTGGCTCCAGGTAGCAGTGCAAATTTATAATGCTTAAGTGTTACACAGAAAAAAAACCAAAAAAACAAAAAAACAAAACAAACACACAACTCCATAACTTCAAAATGGCAAAAGAACACATAATTGTCATGGGAACAAAAGTAATAAAAAAGAATCAGCTTTACCTGCTGTTCTGCAGTGAGTGATGTTCTGATGTTCTGCATTTCTTCATTCTTTCTTTTCTCTTGTTCTTCAAGTTGCTCTAAGAACTTCATTTTTTCTTCCTGAAGCTTCTCTTGAAGTTCAGCAACCAAGCTTGATTCAGCAGATGATTCAGTGGGAGGACTTAAAAGAAAATGTTTAGGCTTTAAATTTGCAGCATATACAGAGTCCCAGAATACATGAAATAAGCAAACACACGAAAGTCAAAAGTTCCTTTTTGAGACATTTTTCTGAAATGTTTAATAAATACTGCATTCCAATTAAGTCATTAAAAAGTAGAATTGAAGATTAGTAATCATGACCATCTCACCAAATTCTCACTCTTGGGCACTCTGTTTTTTAGTGTACTACACTGGCTCTAATTTTGAAATTTTGTTGAGAGGAGAAATTTTGTTTTCATTTTTCTAACGTAACAGGTGTGGAAAGTGGTAAAAAGAGGAACAGTGACACATCAACTCCCTGAAGATTCTTAGCTTGTCAAAACGCAAAGCCTCCGGAACTCTCACACAATTAAAGCAATTCAGCAATAAATCTGATGCTAAGGAATCCAGATACGAAACTCAAAACTCTGGGTTACAGAATCTGGAGAACAGTACTAATGACCATGAAGAAAGGAAAGCCTCAACAGTCATCGAGGCAGGAAGGATAATGACCTTAAATGGCTCCTGAAACGAGCAATGTTACATAGGCCAAATATCTTCCATCACTGAACCCAAAGCATTAACTACCCTCTTCTGTGTTTTGGCCTGAGTTATCAAGAACTACCACTGAGGAACCCTGGGACAGACAAATCCCTTTGTTCGGCAACTTTTGTGAAAAGCTATTATTTTAAAATTTCTATTATTCCTCTACACCAGAATCATATTTAATAGAAAGAAAATCCCCCAAACGTAACTCTACATCTACATACATGTGTCAATGGTTTTCTCTAGTCATAGCAGCCTGGAGGTATGGTCTCCTGATGTTAGGTAAGCTGTGCTGAAAGCAAAACATCATGTGCTAATATACTAACATGCACAAGCACAACTCCTAATGCTAAAAATGCTCCAAGAATTCTTCTTGCTTCATAATGCAAAGCTTCTCTGTTAAGACTAAGGGCTGCAGAACCTCAGAGACACCAGAAAGATTCAGCATAGAGAAAAACTGAACTGTGGAGGAGGCAGGGAACCTAAAATTCTGATCTTTGCATACTGGATGGGAGTTTGGGAATCCATGAAATGACCAGTTCCAGCCATTTCTACAGTCTTTGCTTTATCATATGAACCAGCACATACTCACCTACCTCTGTTTCTGCCATCAAATCTCCCGATCAAGTTAAGAAAACACAGGGTAAGTTTGTCTGAGAAGTGTAAACAAGAGGTACGCCTGCACCTTACTTTACAAGCACAAAAAATTCACTCATATTATTCCAAGGCTGTTAGCTGCACTAAACCAAAGCGGCTATCATCTGCCTCTCAGGCTGCCTGGACTACTGACTATTTGCAAATGACAGCCAAGTAAAGGATATTGTTATTCTGCAAAGGATGCTAACACACATCCCTAGTTTTTAAAACTTGTCACTATGTTAGGTATTGAGTTCACACATTTAATCTGCAAAGGTCTCAACAACTATGGCAACAGTGACAATGCCTAACTTTTTTTAGTGGTTTCAAGATACCAAAAGCACATTTCTTCAGAGATTGGGGTTCCTTTGCAAGTAAACATCGTAATGCTCTACCCTAAGATAACAAAGGGTGTATTTAGCAACACTGCCGCTGTTCTACCACAGGGGCATGTACTGAAGATACAAACTATTATGCAGTAGCTAAGCACTCAAAAAGCCCAAAAGAAGTTGTAAATAAAAGAGCCCTGAAAGCCAACTGAAGTTCTCAGAGTGGCAAAACAACCCTTGACATTCCAGAATTCAGAAGTAAAATAAGCAGAGAGGAAAGCAAGTCATGAGACACCCAGGTAAATCTTTTTTATGCTGCTAAGAAAGCATTTTTGTGCTGGATTAAATTTCAGTTTATTTCTAAATTAAGCCTAGCTGTGAGAAAGAGCATGTACTGCTCTACAGAGAAACTTCACTACTGATGGTGGTCTGATAGAAGTGGCTGGACAACACCAAGGCTAGAAGACTCCAAAGCTGTAATTCAGGTTTCAAAGCAGTCAGGGTTCCTTTTCTGTTTTTAACATTCTCTTATAGATCTTTTAACTAACCAGCAGACTGCTTCACAATGAAAGTCATTACAGAAATTGTCGGTTTCAATTAATCTTGGCTAGTATATACTACATACAGTAGAAAGATTAAATAGGAGAGTTACAAATGCCTTGCAGTTTTATCATATTTCTAATCATAACGACTTGAATTCCAGGCACGTGATAAACAAAACACATTAATTTTCATATGTTGGTGATGCATGGGTCACGAACATTTCTTTGTCACTTCTACATATTTTTGTTAGTTTTCATGTAAGTTCAGAAACTAAATTCCCGATACCAGTGCACCACTTAAGTCAAATTTAACAATTCGTCTCCCTCTTTGTGCCTTCCAGGCAGCTAATGTAACATTGCTCTTGCAGAAAAGGACATTTATCTGACAAGCATGTAAGCACATGCCAAATAAAAGTCTGTTTCTACCATTACAAGTTAACTGGTAAACAATGACTGAGTGAGGATAAGAAGTCAGCTTGAACTCCTGACTTAGCTTGGGGTTTTAGGAACTCAAAAACCAAACAGCTAGACAGTGACTTTGAAATATTAAGACAGATTCACATAACATATATGCCCTCTGGAGATAAAACACAGCATGTCCTTACTCCTAGAGAAAAAGCCTAACAGCAGATTAAAGGCATAAAGAGTAGCCTTAGGAGGCAATGCATATTTTAACATCACACTGAAAATTAAATTACTTGACAGAACTCATAACAAACCGCTAACACTTCTTTAGACTGAAGCAGATAACATTTCTTTGAAATACATTACTATCTGTTTTATCCAGTCTCTATAGGAATACACACAGCTGTGCTCCGAAGTTGTTCAAATTTAAGTGTAGATAGTGGATTTTTAAAATGTCTGATGACACAGC